TTCTTCAAAATATTCACTGTTCCTCCTCATGGGACAAACCTTGGATGCCTGTCTCATTCAGGTCAGGTTTAGCCATGTGATTTGTTAAGTCAGTGAAATATGAGCAGAAATAACATGTGCCACTTAAAAGTAGAATCTTAAGAACCATTGTATGATTCCCCTATCACCTCTGTTTTTCCTTCTACAACAGTGGTCCCCAACGTGTTTGGCACCAGGGACTGGTTTCATGGGTGAAACTGTTCCATCTCACGAGGAGCACACAACCTAGCTCCGCCACATGTACAGTAGGATTCATCATCTTATGAGAATCTAATGCCACTGCATTAGATCTAACAGGAGGACAGGTAATAGTCCGAAACCTGGGATTTGAGGACCCTCTGGTCTACAAGACTGGTATGTCCAAGAAACAGACTATTCTTTTAGACTTCCTCTTCAAAATGGAGATAACATAGAACAGAGCCATAGGCCATCTGCTATTAATATAATGGCTGAATTAAACTTCTGTTCTATACCACAGAGCTAATGGGATGATTTATTGTGACAAAATAATTTAGTCTAAGATGGGTAGATATTTAATAAATGTTGAAGAAAAAAAGGAAGGTTATAGAGGCCTAGAAAAAAAAAATAATTCCAGAGTCAATTTTGTTTTAAACAAGAACTATCTGTTGAAAAGAAGGAAAATCTAAGCTTTCATGAGTTCCTAATTATGAGAAATCATGGCAATTGGGATTGAAAGGAGAAAGGGAAAGAGTAGATTGTAGAGAAGGAGAGTATATTTTTGGTAATGCAATCTTGGGAAGAAATAAAAGTGAATTCTTGCTAGATTAGCATGTCCTTAAGATGTCTTCAGGGAATATTTAAAGGAATCTAAGTATCTGTTAGTGAGGTGTTTTGAGAATCCAGTACATATGTATAAAGATTTATCCTTTAGTCAAACCAAGCTAAGTAAGTTAAGAATGCTTTTTCTATTTTAAATGTCCAAGTTGCTCTGCTTCTATAGCCAAAGAATGACTACAAACCTGACTAAAACAACATCCAGATTAAGGCTATATGTAATTACAGCCAATTCTTACTATTCACAGTAATGTTCTATAAACATGCAGCAAACACTAAATCAGTGAATAATGACCATTACTCCTAGAGGAAATACAAGCTTAGGTTGCTGTGAGCCTTTGGTCACATGTTCATCAACTAGTCAAAACATAACCTTGCTTTATGTATGTTCCTTTTAAAGATATCTTATTTAATATACATTGTTGATTCACTAACTTTGAACTTGCAGCAAGAGGACTTTATTCATGCATCTTATTTAACATACGTATTGTCTATGTACAGTTATGCCTAGTCCCTCAACATTTACATAACATTGGTTCCAGCACACTTCCTCCCCTCACCCCACCAACACCAAAATCTAAAGATGCTCAGGTCTCTTAAATCAGATAGTTTAGTTTTTCATGTAACCTATACATACTTCCATTATACTTTAAATCATCTCTAGATTATCCCTGATATAACATATACATTATATAAATAGTCATTATACTGTCTTGTATTTTTATTTGTATTTTTTTATTGTATTATTATTTTTTCCAAATATTTTCAATTAATGATTGATTAAATCCATGGATATGGAACATACAGTTAATAAAAGCTGGCTGTATTTTCTATGTATATTATAGCCATCTTGTGCTTAGAAACACTAGATAACACATCAGTATTATTCTTGGAGGTCAAGTTAAACAGTAAAATCACCAACAAAAAACACGAATATGCAAAAGATGGCACTAAATACATAGTGAAAAGGACACTTGTTTGTAATATGAGAACTGAAACAAGAAAGCAGAGAGTCACTGTTTTCAACCTCACATGGGGACATGCACTTCAGAAGTTTCAAATGTATGCCACTCTGTGCATACCCATGAATGACTGCAAAAATGCCATCAATATTCATTCTGGTATTGCAAATAAACTTCAGGAAGTAGCTAAATTTGTAAATGCAGAATCTGTAAATAACAATGATCCACTGTATGTCCAAACAACTGGAAAGAAAACAGTCAAATGGATTATGAGGAGTTGGGCAAAATGCCTGCTAGTGAGAAGAGGGAGAAATTGGATGCATAAATAATAAATCTAGCAAAGTGCCTGACATGTGGTAGATTTTCAGTAAATGTTAGTTTCTTTCCCTGTCTTTATCCCTTTGTTTTCTCTTGCTTTGGTAAAATACAAGTCACCTAAAGAATTAAAATAGTACCAGAATATTGAAGGTCCACCTATCAAAGTAATAGAAAGCATTAGGTGGTAGAAAGGTTTTTCTTAACATTTCGTTTTACTGCTGAATTTACTAAATCATACTTAGAGATGCTCTGTCATCTTAATGTAAATCTTAAAGGCATGTTTATGTAAAAATGTTAATATTTAGCCAGTGTTGAATTATCTTTTATGGGATTAACATAGCAGATATTACCCAAAAATTTAAATAGAATGACCCTGTTTTGTCACAGATATTGGGATTTTCTGTTTCCACACTCACTTCTTTATGATTTATATTTTGTTATTAATTGGAAACATCTGAAGCAAAAATTATTTTAAACTCACAAATCTAACTTATAAGACTAATAATAAAACATCATAGTTTTCTAAATTTTTAAACTTACAGAAAAGATATGTACCTTAAAAAAAAAAAAAAAAAAAAAGAGAAAGTACATGAAGAGGGATGACTTAATTATCACCCTCATCCTGACAGTTTTCTTTTATGGAAATATCACCTGCAAAAAGGTTTATCAAGACAAACTTTTTACAATCCCCATTAAATTCAGTGAATGAATGGTAAAGGGTAAATTGGAGCCATTATAATCTTACATTTCTTATGTAATATTCATAATCACAGTGTTACATAAGAGCGAGCTAATGTTAACAAAAGGAGCAATTTAAATTCCCACTTCCTTGGAGAATGGGGCTCTGCTTGACAAACAGAGCTTCCTGTCCCCTTTGCAACACGCCCACACAGCTCCTCGAGTGCCAATGAGACCCACACTCTCATCTCAGTGATATAATAAACCCTCCAAAACAGAGGAGAAAATGAGGCAAACAAGCCCACTTCATTTCAACTTGTCAGCTTTAAATAAAATCTTCTGGAACTGAAAATGGGAAACTTGAGGGAAGATAAGTGTGAAGTAACCAAATTCAACACTGGGACAAACATACTACAGCACTACTTTTTTCTTGATCTGCCACAAAAAGTTTTTGAAATTTCACGATAGGTGGTTTTTAATGAAATATCTTTTTGTCAAGGAGGACTTAGAGGAAGAAAGTGTTCCTTTTGTTTATTTTTTCCCTTCTCTCCACCCCACTGATGCCTTAGCTAACATCTCAAGTCATCTCAAGCCCCTATGATATCTTAATGAGTAATCTGTGACTTTTGGAATAACTCCCAATTATCGATATTTATGTCAGAGTTGGTACAGCAGAGCATACTGAAAAAAGTGCATGCTTTCTGTATAATTTAATTATTTACATAATACTTTCTTGGTGCTGATTTTTTATGCAAAATATTGGACCATGCTTTCTGCATAGAAAAAAAAATGTTAAGGGCAAAAATGCATTGAAAGGAAAGTAAAAGTAAATTAACATTCTGTTAAATGGAAATATTTGAGTATCACTGAAATAAGCAGTGATTGGTAGTGCAAATCTCTTCCTACGTCCTCTCCCCAGTACCCACTGCTCTTATCCCCAGCTCACTTCCTAACGCTTTTTTCCCGCCTTGCACTTAGGAGGCTCTAGTCTGTTATTCCCCTTAATTCTGTCCATATTCCTTCTCTTCTCCCTTTGAGGTTGCTTGTAATTTTGTCAAATTTTCCCTCTCCTCATACTTCCTTAATGAGCACTTAGATTTCTTCCAGGGATACGTAGTACCACTGGGTTCCAGCAGACAGGCAGCACAAGCTGTGTATATTCCAAAGCCAGTGAAGAGGGGCGAGTCAGCTTCCTTCTTTCTTAGATGCTCTAGGTTGTGCCCAAATTGTATGCAAGCATCTTTTCATGAGTTTTGTTTTTACTTCCAATACTATGTTTCATACATTTTCAAAATCATTGTAAAAGATTTTTTCTTACTCGTTACACTCTCCTATAGCATTATAATATGAACCCTCTGATTTCAAATCCTTTCATCTTAAAATTCCCAAATAACTTTGAGTAATCAGTGCAAGAATGATGATTATGTTGAGGAATATGATCCCTTCACCATTTTTGATGGCACACTGTTGAGAAGTTCTTTTGGGCACTGTAATATAAAATGTGATTTCAGGTATATATTTTTAATATATTTTACAAATTCCATGGGATAGGAAAGAGTGTATGGACTACGGACTACAAAGATTTCAGTTTGAGGCTTGACAAATCAACATTTAATAGAGTGGCCATAATCGGCAAACAGTTTTTGTAAACCTCTCTATCATTCACTTGTAAAATACGAACAAAAATGTTGTGTCGCAGGATGATTAAATTAATACGAGGCATGTTTGGGGGATATTTTTGATTCTTATTTTGTGACCATTATAATTATTATTATAAAGCCAGAAAGAATGTATTTAAAGTTAGCTTGACCTGGCTATTAAATGTCTATTAAAATGTGAATGATGGTATTATGCAGCTTCCATATATATATATATATATACACACACACACACACACACACACACACATACATATATACTATATTTTACAACAAGTAAAATTCTGCCAGAAGCTCTAGGTTATTCTCTACAGTTTAAGGTAAGTGAGGCTAGTGCCTTTTGGTAATCTTAAACCCAAAGTATCCATGGTTTTATTGCAGTGTTTATTCTAACAAGCTGCTATATCAATAATCACCTCAGTGTAATGTCGGACCATCATGTGGTCTGAAGGATCTATTTAATGACTAATCCTGTCAAAAGGAAAGCAAATGGACTGATTTGCTTAGGAGATATCTGTTCTAAGCTGAGGGTGTTTTTGTTTCTCCACAGTGATGGCTGGGCTGACAGGTATGATGTGACAGATGGATATCAGCGAGAAGCTGTTGGTGGCATCACAATCAAGCTCCAATCTCCCGACGTCAAGTGGTTTGATGATTATTATCTGAAGCTCCGGCCAGAAACAAACCACCGAAACCCGTGGTTTCAAGAATTTTGGCAGCATCGTTTTCAGTGCCGACTGGAAGGGTTTCCACAGGAGAACAGCAAATACAACAAGACTTGCAATAGTAAGCAGATGTATTGTTTCATTTAAAGTGCATAAGGCTAAGCCTCCAATGTAAGTTAACCATGTCATGGGGACAGTAGCTGTAATTTGTTAGAGGAGAGGACTCTTACATAAGCAAAGTAGGTATTGCCACTTATGGTGATAAACAGGTTTTAGTTTCATTAGGAAACACATATCAGAGCAAGTATTTAGTAGTATTTTATGTGATTATTAGATAATTTCTATTTGTATCATCCAAAAAATTGAATGTGTTTCCATACAGCATTGTGCTGAAAAGATCATGTGAGCTCCATAATGGGACTATTTCTGACGTCCTTGAATGCAGTGACTACATTCTGCTCATTTCTATTATCCAGAGGAGTTACCACAGTGGAAGCACATAGTAATGATTTTATATATGTACAAAGAATGAATAAATGAGTATTGAAGGACAGATCCAATTGTTACTTCCATCAATAAACCATAAAATAGTACCAGGGATTTGCTATATATAATTGTCATGATGTTTCAGGAAACGTTACTAAAGTAGAGTAATTCATTCAATCATCCAACAAATAAGAGGCTAAGAAGGTACCAAATATTGCTTTAGTTTTAAGAATACCAGGATGGAGAAAGCTAGTTCCTGCCTTCAAAGGTTTACTCTCTTGGAATGGACATAGTAATGCCAAGAAAAATTGCAATTAAGCATTATAATTGATATGATAAGAGTTTAAAATTAAAATTAGAGTTTGGGTTAATATTATTTGTGACATGTCCAAAAGGAATATTGACTCTAATAACCAGGTAGAGCCAGCATATACTGTCTATATCTATATCTATATCATCTATATTATCTCTCTAATATCTGTGCCTGCAAATGTTAAAGTTTGTTAAAATTGGGAGGATTTTTTGGGGGGGGAACTGACTTATCCTACATTGTGTAATAAGAAACCCATATGCATTTGCATAGGAGGAAAATGCAAATTGAACATGGAACATGCTCAAATTTTTAAATGATAAAATGTTAATAAATTATTTAAAATCTTACTAGAGTAAATACTTGCTCTGATCTGTTGTTGTTAGTTGGTGATACAGGTGCCTTTATCCATGGTGCTGGAATATCAGAATTTATCCATGGTGCTGGAATATCAGAATTCATTAGAGCAGTGGGCTTGAAATCTTGGTCCATGGACCAATTCTACCTCACAGAGAGTTTGTCACATACCAGCAACAAAATGGTAAAAATAGGAACAACGTGGTAAGCTATTCATAAAGCTTTCTCCCTCTGAGGTCATGTTCGTCCTGTGTTTCTGGTATCAGTTTGTTCTTTTAGGAAATAACGGAAATACTAAATGGTGCTTTGTGATTGTTTTTAAATATAATTGCTTTGTAAAACAAGCACCCAGCAATCCTGTATCAGTTCCTATTTGGGTAGAAGGGGAAGGGAAGAATGCTAGAGTGTGGGATAATATACCTGTCAATGAAATCCAGAAATCATTGCAACATACTGTGAGAGTGTGTTCCCTTCTTTCCCACTTTAGATCCTGCTATGTCCAGAATCTTCAAATGCTTACTCATTTCCTTTGTTTTTATTTTTATGGAAAAATATGTGAGAAAAAATAGCATTGTCACTTATGGCTCATAATTTCAAATGTATCTAATTTAGTATTTTAACAGTTCTATCTAGTTTCTGAAGAAAACAAACTTGTTTCCTCTAGAAATTTGGGAAGCATATGTCCTTCTGTGGTCTATCCTATGTTTGTGTACTTATTAGTATGTGTAGCTTCATTGGAGGGCTTATAAAAGGTAAGCAGTAGCTCTGATCTCATCTCCAGTTCCTCTTTATGAGGAATTGGTGACAACACTAACCAGTGTATTTAAGGGAATTTTTCCAGTTGATCTGCATCCTCTTTCTTTACTAATTTCTTCTTTTCCCACTGCTTTTTGTCAGAAATGTCTCCTCCTAAAAATAGTTCTTTGTTTCTCTGACTCTTTATTTGCTGGAAGTCCTGATTAAATATAGTCTTGAAAACTTTAACTGATTTACATGAAAATATCATTTCTATGGAAACCATTCTGTAAAATCCTTCCTTGACCTTGCTGCTGTAGCTCTCTGTCTCTCAGGTGAGCACCTTGGTGTGATCTCTCTGCTCAGAATCTGTTCTTTACTGCAGTCATGGAAAGCACCATTTAGTCCCCCAACTTGGGATCTTATCTGACAATATGTCATTTGGTACATAAACATGGATTACTTTATATGTAGTACCTCTGTTATATTTCTGAATGAGGGATGTATATTATTATCCTCATTTTAAAGCTAACAAAAGCATGATTTAAAGAGACAAAATAACTTCCTCCAGTCATGTAACTCCTAAGCACTGAAACTTAAAACTGAACTCAGATTTGTCTAGAGTTTAACCAATCTGCTGGACTAAACAAATTAAATATAACAGATTTAATAATCACCATCAAATCTGCATTATATAATAGTCAATATATAGATCAAAGATACAAGAAAAAATAATTCTTAGAATTATTTATATCTTACTATGAAGTGCAATAAAAGATACTTAAACATTCTCTACTCTCTACTTTTGATTCTAGTTTTATGTAATCCAGTGTCCACTGAGCATTTCAGCCCTATCATGTATGAGAGTTTAAGTTGCTCCACCCCCTTGTTAATACTTGTTTTTTCTTTGGTATTTTTGACCATCTGTGAATGTGTAGTTCTACCATATTGTGATTTCACTTGGCTTTTTCATGATGTATTTCAAAGTTAAGGTCCTTTTCATATGTTTTTGGAAAGCTGGTATCCTATTGTGTCTGTTCAAGACTTTTGAACATTCCTCTGAGTTTATTATCTTTTTAATATCTATTATAAGAGTTCCTCATGGAGTATGGATATGAGTCCTTTGTCAGCTATATTTATGATAAAATTGCCAAATCAGAAGTTTGGCTTATTATTTTACTGTATCTCTCATTTGCTACTTGTTTTCTTTTTGTCCAGTTTGTTATTTAGTTCTTTATTCTTCTATCTTTTCTGCTTTGTTTTGTATTAATCAATAATTTTTATTATTTTATTCTCTCTTAACTTTTTTGCTTCATCTGTTTGTATAATTTATTTGGAGTTTTCAATAGAAATTACCAAATGAGTCCTTAGTTTAAAACAGACTATTTTAAGTTCTTATTCACTTTCAAGAAGCTTGCAAGTATTTAACTCTATATACCCCTTCACAATTTTTTTGTGCAGTTGCCAAATAGTTTACTTTTATATATGCTCTATGTACCAAAGGACTCTGTTGTAATTGCAGCCATAGATGAGCAATCATTTTGTAGTTATTGAGGCTATCGTTCTTCATTCCTTCTTATACTTCCAGGCTTTCATCTATCATTTTAGCCCGAAGAAATTCCTTTAGTATGTCTTAGGTACGCAGATCTACTGTCAAGGAGTTGTACTAAAATTTTCCTGAGAAAATTTTTATTTCATCTTTGATTTTTTAAAGATATTTTCACTGAGTATAACATTCAATATTGGTTTTGTTTTGTTTTCTTACTTCGTTCTTATTTTTTCTTAAAAAATGACATTTCATTTTCTTCTAGATTTTGTGATTTCACTGAGAAGTTAGCCATCATTCTTGATGTGTTTCCCGTGGTGGCAATATCGCAATATGTCTTCTTTATTTTCAAATTGTATATATATATATTTTTAAGTTTTAGTGACCATGATGAACTTTGGTGGAATTTCCTTTATATACTACTTTCTTATGGTTTCCAGAGCTCCTTAAAGCTGTAGAATAAAGGCTTGCATCAGTTAAAAAAATTTTCCCTTAAACATTCCTCTTGCTGCATTTCTCTCTCCTCTCCTTCTACTACCCAATTACACCTCTGTTAAGCCGTGTGACCATGTCACAAATATGACTTATTTTCTGGATAGTCTTTTCTCTTTCGTCTCTATGATTCAGAAAGAAAATTTGGCCTATATCTTGAGGAAAAGGCCAGCTAAAGTGTGAGGAATCTTCATTCCTCAAGTGAGCTTTTCTTATAAATATTACAAAACAATTTAAGATCTAAATCTCCCTCTTCAAAATCTTGAGCCTCTCATGCAGCCCCCAGAATCAGCAAGGGAATCATGGGAGAAAATATTTCCATGCTTTTAGGGCTCCTGGAATTTATAAAGTGTCATTTTAATAACCAAAAGCATTACTGGTGCTTCTTTTTCTATGGAGTATCTTATACTGGGTTGAATTACCACTTGCTACCCCTTCCTTAATTCATGTCTTTTGCCAGAACCTGCATGATCTTCTTTAGAAGTATAACTAATAAGGATAAAGTGTAGTAGGGTAGGCCCTTAATTCAGTATGATAGATATCTTTATATAAAGAGGAGAAGAGACGTAGACACAGAGAAAGACACGAGGAGAACACCATGGGATGGCACAGGCAGAGACTGGATTGATGCAAGAGCAATCCAAGGAATTTCAAGGATTGATGGTCATCACCAGAAGTTAGGAAGAATTCTACCTAGAGTCTCAGAGGGAGTATGGCATTGCTGACACCTGATTTCAGTCTTCTTGCCTCCAAAACTGGGAGGCAATCAATTTCAACTGTGTTAAGCCGCCCAATTTTTGGTTCTTTGTAATGGCAACCTTAGAAAATTAACATTCCTGCATGTAAACCTAGAGAGATCCTCAAACTGAATTCTGCAGTCAGAACGTGCAAGTATTCTAGGCAATAAAAGAAGCCGATGACACCTTGCTTCCTTGATGCTCTTCCCTTTGTGTTAGTTCTTTTTGTTTTTGTTGCTTCTAGATATCTTCACTGCCTTTAAAAATTTTGACTTTTGCATTTCTTTCACCTTTTCAAGTATGCAGTAAAGGAATTTTTGGTTGCTTCCTTCTCCATCCGACCTAACACCAGTTCTTCCTCTACTCCTCATTCTTAGTTGTTGCTACTCCTGAAACTCTAATGTTGTTGTATAAATAAAGCTGTCACTTGTGATGTCTAAAATGTTTGTAGCTTTGTT